CATAACAACAACAGAAAACTTGAGGGAAATGGTAGAAAAATTTTCAGTTGTTTTTGCTGAGTGTTCAGAAATGGAGTGTGCAGCATCTCACTTGTACTGAAGCTTTTTTTCCCCACTGAATCTGCACCAAAGTCAGGCTGGTTAAAAAAACCCTCTGTATCCTGCGGTTTCGAGAAGCAGGCTGTTCCCAATGTGGAGAGGCAAGAACTTTTTATTGTAGTGGTACAGCCTCAGGAAGAAAGTTCAGGGATACAGGTTTCTCTGATGAGGAGTGCGTTATCCTTGACTTAAAGTGCTATAGCAAGTGATCGCCTTAAAGATGTTCATATTTATCTCTCGACTTGGTGGGAGTTCGTATAAGATGATCTCTGTTGTATTTATTTCACATAGTGGGTGGTTCTCACTGGCTTTGATAACAGGAAACAATGTAGCCAGGAAAATGAACCTTCACAAAACGAAAGGATATATAACATATAATATATAATATGTAATATATAATACATATATAACTAAGTTTATTAAAAAGAATTGAAAGTTTAGTATTTGCATGGTCCTCTGTAGCACACTGATTAACAGGTACTTCTTTTTGAGTTGGTTATAATAAATAAACTGTATTAGAAGGGGCATTTGGCATTTTCCCGGTAGTGGTGTTTGAAACCTTCTAGGTTTTCAGTGCGTGAGTGTAAGCTTAGAAAGCAAAGATGTCTGTATGAAGGTTTGAGAGGCAGAATAATTGGGGAGGAACTTGGTTTAGTATTTGGGAGAACCTTGGGGTGCATTGATTCAAGTCAATACTTGATGGTTGATAGGTGACTACGAGGTTTGACAATTAAGTTCGCGAACTCATCCTAGAAAAAGTGCTGCATACCTCATTGCTGAATATCACTACTGTCACCTTCAAAGTACTCCCCTTGGGAAGCTATGCACTGACGCCAGCACCTAGTCTACCCCTCAAAGCAATTTTGGAACTCTTTTTCTGAAATGCCCATCAGAGCTGTCGTCGTATTACCCTTGATGTCCTGAATGTCATCAAAATGTCTTCCTTTCAATATTTCCTTTCTCTTCAGGTAAAGAAAGAAGTCACTGGAGGCCAGATCAGGTGAGTAGGGAGGGTGTTCCAATACAGTTAATTTTTTTACTGGCTAAAAACTCCCTCACAGACAGTGCTATGGGAGCTGGTGCATTGTCATGATGCAAGAGCCATGAATTGGCGAAAAGTTCAGGTCGTCTAACTACTTCATGCAGCCTTTTCAGCACTTCCAAATAGTAAACTTGGTTAACTGTGTAATTGGTACAAATTCATAATGAAAATCCCTCTGGTATCAAAAAAGGTTAGCAACATTGTTGTAGCAAGTTCCCGAACTTAATTGTCAGACCTGTATGTAAGGCATAGCTTTATGGGGGTGAAAGAGATCCCTGCTAGGTGTTGGGGTGGTGTCCAGAGACTAGAGAAGGGTACAGGTTAGATGTGACATTTGCACTGGGCCCAGAAAAATTATTACACGTGAACACCCCTGAGTAGAGAAGGTATTGTAGCTAGAGATTGCATCAAAGGCATGAGAGTCAGAAAGCAGCTTGAGCTGGTGGAGTACATAATGGTAGGTAATTTGAAACGAACTTAATTCCCAGCTCAGGAATGTGGCCTTAATTATTAAGGGCTTCAGATCCATTGAAGAGTTTGGAACCATGAAACCGACATTGACTGAGTCCATAAATCCTTACCTGGAGCACTGGCAGCTCAGCTGAGGCAGAGGCAGAGACTAACATCAGTGACAGCGGGCACTGTCCTCTTGGCAGTCGAGGCCTGACCTTCAGTTTGCTTTCCAAAAGCTTTTCATCCTGATGATGATGATATTTACCACTTATTGATCAATTTCTGTGGTACATGAATGGTGCCAAGTCATCCTTACACTCACTCTGATGTGTATATATTATTAATCCCTATAGTAGAGGTGAGGAAATGGAGGCTTAGCAGAGGTTAGCTATGTTGCTCCAGGTCGCATGGCTGAGCGGCAGAGCCACTCGTTTCCAAGTTCGTTCTAGTATTACCACTAAATGCAGCCCTGTATTGCTTCTCTGATGTCACGCTTGCTGCAGGACACCTTCTCAGTGAGCCCTGCTGCATGTGCCATGCTCTGTGTTTGCCACCAGGTTCGATGGCCTGCTCGGCCGAGCTCCCACTTCTCTTGTTCATACTGCAGATATTCCAGGCCTATGCTCACCCATTATGTGTTCATCACTTTACATGGTTTCATGCATGAGTGGGGCATCTCACAGCTGTTTGTGTACTTCTGGTTTAGCCGTGTAACCTTGAATAAGCTGGGGTCTGTAAAAAGGTAGAGTGAGAGCTGTATGGCCTCTGAAATCCTTTCTGCCATGGGGCTAGGCATTAACAGAGAAGGAATCGTTGCTGTAGGATTCTTGAGTGCTAGAGAGAGCAGTGTCCAAAGAAAGGGCATTTTTCTCAATCCTGGCCTCTCTCAGCCACATTCATGCTCATGAACTTTATCTAGTTAGTCATCCAGCTTCATGGACCTGGAGTTCTACTCGACATCCATGAACGACAGACGGGGCCATATCCTCCAAATTGCTTGAATTTAGAACTGCTCCACTTTCAGAGTAGCCTCCTTGATCACTTTCTGCATCTTTTTAGCCTTTGACTCCCTCCCGCCCCCCATATTTCCTTTGATCTTTATCCATTCCTATGTTTACTACCTGGGACTGGGCTCCCACTCTAGACCGATTAAATTAGAAACTGGCAGGGTGGGCTGAAGGTACTGGCATTTGGTTGAGCTGCCCTTGTAATGGTACTTGCATTCTGGGCCCAGACTACTGCCGTGTTGTTCCTGCCGCCTCCCCCATTCCTCCCTTTTAGTTCCCATCCTAACGAAGCTGGAGAGGTGCAGTGAGTCCTGATACTTCTACCAGTACAGTGGCCATTTGCTGTTTTCTGTTTTCAATTTTTAATGAAAATTTTGTGTGCATTTTAATTTTTTATACAATCCACTGTAGACTGTCTCATGTCCCAGACTTCTGAATCTGTCTGCTTGATCTGATAACCTCATGTCACTTAATACAGTAAAAGTTAAAACACACTACTAAGAAAGAGGGCTACATTTGAATTCCGTGTGAATTCCAAAAGGAGTTCAGATTGAGAATGACATAGTCAACAATTTTTTAAAAAAGACATGCATATGTTTAAACATTCAGGCACACATAAAGACTGAAAAGTTATATACTAAAATAGTTAATGATTATGAGTGATGAGATTGTAGATGTTTTTCGTTTGTTTTCATGCTTGCATTATACATTTTCTATAGTGATCATGTATTTCTTGTGTATTTAAACAAACAAACAAAAACCTTAAAAAGAAAATATACCCTTGACAAAGTAGGGGTATGTGTTATTTTTACCTCGTGAGGCTAAAATATTCTGTGGGGATATTGAGAAGAGTACCTTACTGAGAGCAAGCTAACAGCAAGGGTTGGCACACACAAAAACTAGGATTCGGATCCTTATTATTTTTGTTATTATTATAGCTCAGTTAAACTCCTCTCATCTGATGGTTGGCACTTTTGTTGTTGAACAAGTCAGTGTCCTGAGACTATCAGTCCATAAAGGGGACCAGAGGATGATGACATTGATAGTTTACTGTTTGTATTTAATGCCAGTGGATTCATTTTAATAATCTCGGTTATTGGTGGTGCTTTCTGAAAAACTATTATACTAGGAACAGAATATTGACCTGGTTGGTATCTGCTCATCTTTTTGCATTGACTCATTACTGGAATTTAACATGTGTATTTGAATTTGAATTTTAAATAAGACAATTAGAGTAACTGGTTTAGGCCACAACTTTAACAGTATCTCTGGGTACTGTTGCCAAGTAATTTTAATAGTATTGAAAAAGTAAAAACAAAACACGCAATCTCTAACAGATATTTAGTGTCTAATCTTACTTTTGTCAACATAGCTTCCTTTGAAATACGGTGGGAGAGTCTATTGCCAAAAGGAGGGGAAAACAATAACGTGTGGTAATGTCTCAGTAGGGTGGCTTCTTCTGAAATGCTGTTTGGCTAATCTGTGGGGAAATTTGGCTGTGCGCATGCAGTTACTACATTTTTATCCACAGAATGGGCTAAAGTTGGCGTGTCATCTCTCAAGGTTGTCAGAGGCAACATACTGATTTAGTTTGTCCCCCTGTGGAAGACATTTTTGAATAATTTAGTGATTTTTTTTTTTTTTAATTCTACTTTTCCCACTCCCTTTGCAGTCTCCTACCTTTCGTTGTTCGCCACTCTGGCTGATTGCACTCTGAGGCGTCTTTTGTTGGTCGAGGAGAGGAGAATAATTGAAGGTCCCGATGGTTGTCTGAGAGGCGGCCACTCTTGTGTCCTGGGCAGGTCCCGGGGGTCGTGCAGGTCAGAATGCTGCCATGGACCAGCCCGTGGTGAATGCCAGTCCTCTCGGATTGACAGAAACAGAACAAACCTTAATTAGGCATGTTTGAAACTCGACTTGAACTCTGAAAAACATACCTTAAAGGAGCTGCACTTGGGGGGGTTTGAATTCTTTTGGTGTGGATTTGAGATTTCTTGAAGTGTTGCCCTCCACTGTTCTGTTTGGTGCCTGTGCCTTTGATAATTTTGTGACGCTCACTGTTGTTTAACATGGAGGCTCACCAGATGCCATTAATTCTGTGTGGATTTCGTCTCCTCGGCAAGGTGTTGGGTTGCAAAGGCACAAGGGGAGAGAGAGCTGTCTTTTCTAGGGACAGCTGGTTGGCATTCCTGCTGTCTGCAGGGCAGGCCAGTTACACCAGGCTGCAGTCCTTAAGGGCCTCAGGGAGGTGTGTGTCTGTCTAACCTGCGCTTGCGTGGGCAAAAGCCTTTTTTTTTTTTTGGTATGTAACACGTGTTTGTTTTATAAGTAGATCCTCAAGGCATATGGAAAGGGGGAGAAAAAGTTATTCTTATACCTTTTTTTTTTTTTTGATGCAGAGTGGACACAGATATCTACCAGATATCTCCGAGAGCAGCTGGCGAAGATTTCCGACTTTTACCACATGGCCTCCAGCACAGGCGATGGGCCTGTCCCAGTGCCACCAGATGTGGAGCAAGCCATGAAGCAATGGGAGTACAATGAAAAGCTGGCATTTCACATGTTCCAGGTGACCTTTCTCAAACATTTAAGAAAAGAGCAAACTCCTTATCTTTTAGTTTTCTGGAGGTTAAATTGTATTTTTATGTGAACCCATACATTCAAAGAAAGCAATCTGACATTTGTCACGTTGAATTGGATTCAAGGTAACACCTTTGCCCCGAGACAGCTTCTTATTATACATATTGATCTCCTACTTTTAATGATGTTAGCTCTTGCGTTAATTACTTTGTAATTGTACTATTAAATGTAATCCTTCTAAACCTTTTATTTTGAAAAAAATTGGATGTATTTATTTTTAAAAAATTGTTCTGCTGATTTCTCATAGTAGGTCTCCTTTAGAGCTTGGTAATTCCCAAAATAGGTCATCTTAATTAGGCTCAGCTGCAGTTTAAAATGCAGTTGAGGGGGCGGGTAAGGGCATTGAGGCATGACTGAACTACCATCCACACAAACTGACGTGAATCACATTGACCAGAAGAGGGCGCTTTTGCTGTTCGTTTTCTCAATCTTTATTCCTGGCTAGGAGGAGGAAGTGTCTTCAGCTGAAGTGACGCTAGCGCAGGCTTTCACTACCTGCTATCTTGATTAGGGAGGAAGGGGATTAGAAAGGATGTGTGGCTTCTAAATTTCCCCCTTAGAACTGTCCAGCTGGTAAGTGATTTTTTTCTAAGAGATTAAAGTAGGAAAAAGCATGTTTTATTTTTGGGTAGTATCATTGTTAAAGTCAGCAAAAATAACTCTCACAAATCCTAGCGCCCTTTATCAGAGGACAGCTTCAGTGCCTGCTCTCAGCTTTTATGAGTTTTAGTGAGCTGAGGATTTAGTCTGCATCTTTTAAAAAATATCTCTCAGCATGCTTGATATTTTTGGAAGGATTTCTTTATGTGTTAGGAACATTGAAATCAGCCTCTTTCATAGAAAGCTGTTAGGTCCCAAATTGATGAATCTAATTAGAACATTAATGTTAAAAGTTCATTATATTTTTGATTTGCCATATTCTGGAATGTGAAACTGATCCTGGTATACACACGTGCAGAAATAAGGTCATGGGGACAGAGACAAAAGCATCTTGAGGACTGACTATTGTGTAGTCATTGGCAATCATGTTTATGAAGATTTTTTTTTTTAATTAATTTAAAGTTCACTTTACTGGTCTTAAAATTTTAAATTGTAGTTTTTCGGTGACTAACTTTTTAACTCTTTTTGCCTCTAAACATTTAAAAATTAGAAATTAGCAACAAGTAAATATCTTGATACCATGTCATGTCAATGTAGTGTCATTATAATCTTATACATACTGAAACGGTAATTTATCAGCACAGTATTTTCACACAAATCGTTGATAACCATGGTTGGGGACCACTGATGATACCTAGGTATGCAGGAGTTCTTAGAACAAAGTAGGAGTTCATATTAACTACTAAGGTTGTTACCAGGATGATCATAAAAGTATAAGTGTCTTTCTTAGAAAACATAGCTTTTGCTTTTCTTTTAAAGATTCTTTCATGATGTGCAAACACATATGTATGTATACTATCATAAAATAACGTGTGTATTTATATGTATGTAGATATGGAGGCAATACACGAAAAATGTTAATAGTGTTTATGTCAAGAGGGGTATACCGCTCCTTTTGGGCATTTTGGAAGTTTGTAGGTGTGTTTTAGTGTAGTTATGTTGGTTGGAATATTTATACATTATGGTATTTTATTATTAAATTCCTTTCATTTCTTTATGTTATAGTTAATTAGGCCATAATAGTAATTTTTAAGGTTATATTTTACAGGTAGGTTATAGTATTTGAAATTCAGTTTAGGATAGAGAAGAAGACTATTGAGGCGGTGTTGGATCTGATGGGATTGTCAACCTCTTGTCATGATGGCATGATGGGTGCTCTGTTCTTCATAATCATCATCATTGGCCAAGATTCCCCTGTGAATATGAGTTTATACACCCCCTACATCTAGCCAGGCGTTTGATCGGCCTTGGGAATCTAAAAGCTTCTGAATTTCCTCTCGTGTAAGAATTATTATTTCTTTTTCAATTTAGAATGAAGCAGATTACCAAAAAACACCCAAACGAACCATACAAAATAACATTAGTTTTTTTTGTTTTGTTTAGAGTTTGGGCTATGGTCAATGACTTTTACTACATCAAAAACAACAGTAGTAAAATTACACTTAAGCGTAAGAATAACATGCTCTCTGGAGTTTTAGTTGGTTTTACTTTAACATTATTAGTGTACTTTTTCTTTGTTCATTTAAGGAAGGAATGCTAGAAAAGCACGAATATCTGACATGGATCTTGGATGTTTTAGAAAAGATCAGACCAATGGATGATGATCTTCTTAAACTCTTGTTACCACTAATGCTGCAGGTACAGTACATATATGCATGAACTAGTTCATTTTATGGGCAAGACTGGTAAGTAGAGAGGTGGAAGAGGAAAAATTTCTTTTTGAAACTGAAGGAAAAACTATTTTCTTGTTACTCTTATTACAAAGTTTTGGCAATCGTTTGACCATGTTCATAGTTTTTATCCACCTGTCCTTTTTAAGTATTCTCACCCACATTGATTTCTCCCATCAATGAGCTAAGGAAACAGCTCTTTAAATACTGTCTCCTTGTTCACACAGATTTCTGTGAAAACAAAACAAATCATCTCTTTAAGGATACAAAGGATCTTCCACAACCTTTTGAGTCACTGGGGTTGGAACTTCCTATTTTAATGATTTGTCTAAAATCTGTTAAAGTTTAGGTTATCTGGATGAAATTTATGAAAAAATAAAATTTTCTTGACAAGGTAATACATGTATTTGATTATTCAAACAACATGAAAGAGTATCTAGGGAAAAGTAATTCTCTTTCTCACCCTCTCAGAGACTGCACCATGCCAGTGTCCTGTGTCCCCTCCCTGAGGTAGTCTGTACTTGTACTGTCCTTTTTGTTGCCACTAGCCAGACGTGGCAATTGAATTGTTGAAATATGACAAGTACAAATTGAGATGTGTTCTTAGTGTAAAATGTATACCATATTTCACACTTAGTACAGAAAAGAATGTATGTAATGTCTCATTAATACTTTTTCTGTTCATTACATGTCGAAATGATAACATTTTGGCTCTCTCAGGCTGAATAAAATACATTATTTTAATTTTGCCTTTTTTCTTTTTTCTTTTTAATGGCTACTAGAAAATTTAGAATTTCCTGTGTGGCTTGCATTCTATTTCTCTTGTACAGCACTGGCCTGTGCAGTATGTTTGAAAGTTTTTTTTTTTTAATGAAAAAATATCTGTATTAATGTAGTTATTTCACCAAGCAGCATAAGACATGACTGAAGTCTGGTGTCCTTGTGTTCCTCAGTACTCAGATGAATTTGTTCAGTCGGCCTACCTGTCTCGTCGTCTTGCCTACTTTTGTGCTCGGCGTCTTGCCTTGCTGCTGAGCGATAGCCCCAACCTCCTTCCTGCCCACTCGCCCCACATGATGATAGGACCAAACAGCGCCAGCATCGGGGCCCCCAGCCCCGGCCCCGCGGGCCCTGGCATGAGCCCCATGCAGCTGGCCTTCTCAGACTTTATTTCCTGCGCACAGCATGGCCCCCTGGTGTATGGACTTAGCTGTATGTTGCAGGTAAGTACTTGGCCCTTGTTATTTTATGGTAAATTTCAGTGTAGGAAATAATTGCATTGGAAATTGCATCTTCCACTTTCACATTACAGCTGTAGATTTTTCAACCAAGTAATTTATAAATTGAAATTTTTATTTTCTGATGTGGAATCCAGCTGAGAGAAAATTTGTTGCTTCCGTCCAGAAGAAAGTTATTGTAGTTGTTCTTTGTTAGTTATTGAAGCTATTCTTCACTTCATTAAGAAGTTCAGTGATTAAAAATCCTTCTGAGAACCCACAGAAGAAGCCGGCTGTATTACTATTCTTCTGGAATGTCAGCTTCTCCGTGCAGAATTCTTTACTTTCCTCGGTTCACGTTTTGAGTTGGTTGCCTCCTCTCTCTGTCTTTAAAATCCAGACAATTTCTTAGGCTCTGTTCATCAGCCAGGCCTCATGCTGTGTGGTTCTTGGCCATCCAGTAGGGTACCGCCGCGCCCCCCCCCCGCTGGTACTGTCAGGAGTGAGATGCAGCCCTGCCCCTGAGGAGCTCATAGGTCACAGTTCTTGGGTTGTTAATGCTCTTTCCTGAGGGGCTTTGGGACAGGTCTCCCCTCTGCTAGAGTTTATAGTCTTGTCAGGAAGGTAGGCTTATAAATGGGTAGTTCCCATGTAAGAGTACAAGGACAAGAGTCAGAGGACAATGGCTGATGGAGGGATGCATGGGGAGCGAAAGGAGTGCAGAAGTTGAATTTCGAGTCCCACCTAGAGTTCAGGAAGGCGGTCTGAGTGAAGTGGTCCTGACTGGTGCCTATTAGTTTTAAATAAAGGAGGCAAGAGTGTTCTCAGCAGAGGTAACAGTGTGGGAAAAGGCCCAGAGGGTTGTTCGGTCTTCTTATTTGCAGGTTGGTATTAATGGGACATAAAGTATAAACTCTGTTGGGGGTCAGGGCATAGAAGACCTCTTGTGTGCCTTATGATTGGGGTTCATGGGAGGGTTTTATGCAGGGAAGGGCATGTCAGTTGTGTGGGTTAGTTAGATTATTTTGGCCACAGTACAGGGAAGATTTGTGGGACTGGGGAGGTAGTGGGGAGAGAGAGAGAAAGAGAGACAAGGCAAAGAAATGAGTTTGGATGCATCTAGGTAAGTTCAAAGGCCTGTTTCATCCTTTACGGTCTCCAACTAGATATTTTTTATTTTTATTTATTTTTTATTTGGGAACAGTGTGTTTTTCCAGGACCCATCAGCTCCAAGTCAAGTAATTGTTTCAATCTAGTTGTGGAAGGTGCATCTCAATGGCCATGTGGGGATCAAACCATCAACCTTGGTGTTAGGAGCACTGCGCTCTAACCACCTGAGCTAACCGGCCGTCCCTCCAAGTGGATATTTTGAAGAGGTTGTTACATGTCTGGTTCTCAAGATAAGGGAGGACAACTGGCCAGATGTATAGATTTGAATCACTCGGGGCCAATTAGCTAGTTAAAACTGAGAGGGGGTGAAGTTACCTAAAGAGTGAGTTAGTGATAGATGACTTGTGGACTTGAGGGACATGAGTGGCTAAGAGATGGCAGAGGGAAGTTCACAGAGGTGACCAGGAAACTTTGGCTAGATTGAAGAGAGAATGGGGAGAGAATATTACTACAGAAACAAAGGCGATGAGAATAAGAATGATACTGTTGAAATTGTTATGCGAATAGCATTTATTATGTTCTAGGCACTGTTCTAAGTTGTAATGTACATTAAATCATTTAGTTCTCAGAACCATCCTGTGAGATAGGAACCCATATTATTTTTGTAACACTAATAATGAAATGGTGGCCAAGGTTACATAGCAGGTAAGTGCAAAGCTGGAATTCAGACCCTGACCATCTGGATCCAGAGTGTACACTCTTAGCAACCATGCTAAACCGTTTCTCCAGGAATCACAGAAAGTCTCGAAAAGGAGTTAGTAGTGGGCAGGTCCAGGAAGTCTGGTAAGAAGATGGCTGAAATTGTCTTGACAATACGGTGGTCACTGATGATCAGTTGACTGGTGGGTTAGAAGCCAGATTAAGGTGGGGTGAAGAGTGATGAAGAATGAGGTGAAATAATTCTGTTCTTTTGAGAAACATGTCTATGAAGGGAAGAGATAGAGATTGCTGTTGGGTAAGTGGAGACGGTTTTTTTTTTAATTGTTTTTTGACTGGTAGATTTGAACATATTTCTAAGCTAAGGGTAAACTAGTAGAGGGAGAGTCTGAGAATAGGTGAGGAGGAGTATTTGCTAGATCAGTGCCCTGGCTATGGGAGGCTTTGGAATTAGAATGCAGGGAAGAGCTAGCTCCATCCTGGACAGGAGACGAGAACCCCACATCGTCATGGATAGAAGCCGAGGGTCCCACATTGCCACAGACAGGCTGGAGTAAGTGGGTGGAGATGTGTGCCACGGGAGACAAATGCACTGGAGGGTTCTGGGACTTGATAGTATTCATATCTGCCATCTGGTTTCCATATAGATGTTTCCTAGACCTCAGAATGTAGTATTTTTATGTGTAATTTCACTTTTTATAAAAAAGAAATGTTGCGTTCATTCTTTAAGCTCACATAGTTTGCTGTTGAGTGGCATGACAGCAAAATGGTGAAGGCATATACTTGGGAGTCATTACAGATTTGATTTTAGCTTCTGCTCTGCTGCTTAGTAACTTGGACCTGGAGCCTCCGTTTCCTCATGTGTGTGAATGGGAGATGATGACAGTTCTTACTTCATTACCTCCTAGGGTTGAGGTTGTGATGACTAAAAGCTTCTAGGCTAGTTTCCAGTGCAGAGTAAGTTCTTCATTAACTGTGAGCTATGCTGTTTAATTTGCATGTAGGAGGCAGCAGGGTTAGTCTAGCATAGTGGTTCAACCACGAGTGCCGACATCAGCATGGGCCTGGAACTAGCCCGGAACTAATCTCCTCTGTGTCTCATCTTCTAGCTTCAGACAGTTGGGGGATAATAGCACAGACCTCATGGAGTCATTGCGACATAAGTGAGATGGTCATAGAAAGTGCTTCTTGCAAGCTTCTTGAATAAAACAAAGGTCTAAGCCAGGGTAGACAAGCTACAACCTGCAGCCAGACCCCTGCCACGGGCTATGAATAGGTTTTATGTTTTCAGTGAGTTATTGAAATAAAAAAAGAAAACTATGTGATAAAAACTATAGATGGCCTGAAAAACCTTAAAGCATTTACGATCTGGATTTTTATAGAAAAACTTTGCCACCCGCTCTTACAGTGCTACCGCCTGCTGAGCGTTTATGAAGCTACTTCTTGCACCATTATTTGCGAGATTAAAAAAAAAAATCCTTTTTAGATTTTTATAGCCTTAGAAAGGACATATTTAATTCCATCTCATTTTTTAAAATTTCATGAAAATTGTTTTAAGTGATCATAATTTTAAGTGATAACTGCATTTTTATTAAGTTTCCCAGGTATCCTGTGCTGAATATTAGCTTATGAATTATAATACCCTTAATTTTTCAATAGCTGTACTTCCTTTCAAATGATAATTTTATCTTAGTTTTGTCTCATCACTTGAAAAGTTGGGACTGTGGTAAGGTAGTCATATTTTGAGCTCAGTAGTAGGAAACTAATAGTTAAGTCCAGGTGTCATTTTTACTGTTAAGCTGTTATACTTTTTTTCTTCCTCTAACTCTCTGGGTTTTCCTGCTTTATTTCCAGACTGTCACTCTCTGTTGCCCAAGTGCCTTGGTGTGGAATTATTCCACAAATGACAATAAGAGCGCGAACCCAGGCTCACCCCTGGATCTGCTGCAGGTGGCCCCCTCCAGCCTCCCCATGCCGGGTGGGAACACGGCTTTCAATCAGCAGGTAAACTTCCTGTGATGGTGCTTTGACTGCATTCTCACTCTCAAGAGGCACCAGGTCACAGGGCATCATGTGGGTTTTAACATCTCACTCTTGGGTCCCATCCCCAGCTCTACCCTGTCTCTCTGGGTGACCTTGGCAGAAGGACTTAGTCTCTGTGAACCACAGAAATTCATCGTATTGTTCCGTCTCTCACCCTCGCCTGGGCAGTTATTTCAGAGTTCTGCCGCCCAGACAATAATTATGATGGTGATTCTCTTACTACGATGACCATGACTCTCATAGTAGTAGTCTGGAATATGTAGTAAGTGTCAGAGGTTTTTATTACTGTTGTGATATTTGGTTCAAAGACTTAAGAAGCTTGAAACACAGGTTGGTGACTAATACTTACAGTAAGATCCCTGTTTTTTACCAATTAGTTTTCTTAAATCAATAAAACATGGCTAGTTGCTTTCATACATAGAAGAATAGCTGAAAGATGATATTTTAGAACTTTCATCTTTCCTTATGATGTCCTAAAAGAATTTCACTTGTAAGGATTTTTCGCAAGCATTTATTTTTTGGTGAGCATTTATTATTGAAAACTGGCATTGAATTGCCACTTGTAAATTTCAAAATGCATTTTGGGCCATGGGCTGAATTTCCTACAATGCAGTCAAGATTGTAGTTCACTGTAGAATGCTCTGCTCCTGTGGAAAAAACCTGACAGGATTTAGAAAACCACTGTGGTTTCCCAAGCACATGTTAATGAGAAACAATTATCTTTTAGGTTCGAGCAAGGATTTATGAGGCAGAACAGCAGATAAAGCAAAGAGGCCGTGCCGTGGAAGTCCGGTGGTCCTTTGACAAGTGCCAGGAGTCAACAGCAGGTACAGAACACAGCTGAAGAACACAGGAGTGCTTTGAATGGTAGACTTTGTGTGCCATGTTCCCGATTGTAAATTTCCACATATCGAATAAGGACCTTTTTTGGTGGATCCACCTAATGAATTTTGAAGTCATTCCTTAGTTTATGTTCTTTAGATCCCGGCTGCCTAGCATGTCAGGCTTGGTTTTGTTGTCAGTTCTTCTATGCTGAGAGTGATTTCTTACAGTTGCTTTGCCCCACATAATGATGATTATGTACTGTGCTATTCTTCGTTTGGCCTCTCTAACTCCGTGTTTAATTTCCACATCTAGGGGTGACCATTAGTCGGGTTTTGCACACGTTGGAAGTGTTGGATCGGCACTGTTTTGACCGAACTGACTCCAGCAATTCAATGGAGACGCTTTATCATAAGATTTTCTGGGCAAACCAGAACAAAGAGAACCAAGAGGTAATTATTTCTTTTCTTCTTTTCACCTTTTATTAGCTTGTTTTCTTTTTTTTATTCAGTATATTCTGACAAAGTCTTTTCTATGAAATGTAATATCTTATAAAGGAGTCTACATCCTGAAGTCGTTCTATTGTAGGACTAAAATGACCCACCAAGGGAACATTAAAAGGAAATGTCCCATGGGCTGCTCTTCCCGGGTATATTGATTGAAAAGATTTTTCTTGGTCTGTTTCTTATCACTCCCTGTCATTTCAGTTTTAGCAGAATATTCTTCCTCTAGTGACTGTACTTTATATAATGGCCTGGCTTTGACTTATTGGGAGTGTATTTTATTTTTATTTTTTATTTTTTTAAAGATTTTTATTGGGGAATTGGGGGATGGGAACAGCGCTGGGGAATTGGGGAAAGGGGAACAGACAAGTTGCTGTCCTTTTGTTCTTCAGTCTAGTTGTGGAGGACATTGCTTCACTGGCCCAAGTTGGCACCATCATTGCGCTATTCCCGGACAAGTCAGATCAGTCACCAGCTCCTGGATGGCCACTCATTGTGGCCGCTGGCTACACATGGTAGCCCATGGTAATCCACTGCAGCAGGGGCTGCAGCCTATGCCGTCGCCGGTGACTCACGGCAGCCCAGCTCCAGGTTGAGCTGTTGTTCAGCATCTTAGCTGTAGAGGGCAGTGTCACTGGCCCTCATATGTGGGATCCGAACTGGGGCCCTCTGGCATCCCAAGCCAGCTCTTAACCAACGCACCACTCGGCCGGCCCGGGAGTGTATTTTAATATTTAGCACATCAGAAAGCAGTGAATGAATACTTGTGGTCACAACTTTTGGAAAGTCTGTAGCCAGTATATTATGCAGGATTCTTCTGAGAAATAGAACGAATAGGGAAAAAAAATTATATACACTTTAAGAGTGAGAGAGTATTTATTTACAGTCATTTGCTACATAACAATGTTTTGGTCAACCACGGACTGCATATACTCATATGACAGTGGTCTCATAAGAGTATAATGGAGCTGAAAATTTCCTGTCACCTCCTGATGTCACAGCTGTTGTAACATCATAGCATAACACATTACTCGTGTTTTTGGTGATGCTGGTGATACACAAATGTACTGCGCTGCCAGTTGTGTAAAAGTATAGCCCATCCAAGTACGTACAGTACAGAATACTTGATAAAGGACTGTGTTGCTGGTTTCCATATACTACACGATACTTTCTATTGTTATTTTAGAGTGTACTCTCTACTTATAAAAAAAATACCCTCACAGCAATACCTAGAATGGAGCTGGACCAAAAAAAAATGGGGTACCATGGCCTAGCCCAGTTGACACGTAAAATTAACCATCACATACAATTTCTATTATATGCTTCCCTAGCACTAGATTGTTTCATTATTGAATTGATCTATAAACATAGGATTTTCAGTTATTTTTTTCTCAGCCTTATTTTGGGAGAGATAAAAAATTTGTCCTTTTTCCATTGGGAAGCACCTGTGGTATATCCAGGTTGTGCTAGGTACCAGAAATGCGGAGGTACGTTTTAAGACATAAGTTTTAAGACATGGTACATACCCACTTTCAAGGAACACCTTAGTTAACTGATTATAAATATCTTTGATTTTCATAGTAGCCTGTGGGAACGCATATATGGAAAGAAGAGATAAAACCAAACAAACAAAAACTACAAACCTTTCCTTATCTTACCTTTATGTGAACTTGATGTGAGCCATTTCCAGGTTATTTCTTTTTTTTTTTTTTGGAATAATGTGAGTGCGCACTCTGCTTCTCAGATAGAAGGTTCAAGACCATTGATGCCAACCAAGGGGGAGGTCAGAATGTCGAGAGTGAGGTCCAGATGCTCAGAGTGTAGTTTCTAACTCACTGTGAGCCTCTGCAGAAATGCTTCAGTAGTTCTGGGGAGCATACTGATTATAAGTCTCCGTAATTCTGTGCTTATAAACACAAGGTGATGAGACAAGTAAAGAGTTAATGGGAGTGGGCTTGTGAGCTGGCAGGATGGGACAGGCAAGGAGTTAACAGGAGCGAACTTAAACATTAACCGCTTGGCTCTGACTTGCCTGGCCAGCACTGCACCTACAAGCTGACAAGCACCTTACATCCATCATAGATGAGATGAGAACAGTTCCCAATTACAACAGCAACCCCCTGCAAGCTGACATCCATCATAGATGGGAACAGGACAGTTCCCAGGAGAAGACAATTGTAACGGCAGCCCCTCTGCAAGCTGACAAGCACCCTACATCCTGCATAGGAAAATATAAAACCCCAGCACCCCTTCTTATCAGCTCAGCTGTCCCCCATTGGCCTCTGCCCTGGCAAGCTTCTGCCAGTATCTCTCTCTTACCCCTCTGTCTCTGCAGCTCTCCCTCTCAGACTGCCCTGGCTAAACTTCTGCCAGTTCCAACAGAACTCTCTCTCCTTTTTAACTTTCAATAAATCTTTTCTCTGGATACTCTTATAGAGTCTTGTAGATTCTTTTCCATTCTGTGAATGACCAGGGGTTAATTCTACACCAAGACACAGGGTGCATTGTTTCTGTGTTCTTTTGGGGTGGAAACCTTAAAGTCTATCTGTTTGAAATAAAGACTTTCTTAGATAAAAGGCTTCAAGACTACTGAGATTTTTAGTGCATAGATGTGCGATATCTGGAAGGAAAGTAGGGATACCTAAGACTATAGGTGTCCTTTGGATTGCTAAGATTCTTACACTGGATGTTGAACGAAGGTGATGTTGTTCCTTGGCGAGAGTCAGCCTCCCCACAAAGCACTTCAGTTTTGTGGGAAGCCTGACAGAATAACTTTCTGGTGAATGAACTGGCGAACTCAGAGACTTAACTTATGAGCACTCTAAAGAGAAAATGATCAGTGTCTTATTAAGGGTAGGCACTGTTTGATATTTTTAAATAAAATTACATTGGAAGGTTCTCTCTCAAGCACATTTGTCTCCAGAGTGGGTGCTTGAGCTGAGCCATTGAGCTGAGATGTCAGAAGAAATTATTAGAACTCCGATTTAGATTGCATTTTTAAAAACCTTACACCTTTAAGAAGTTCTGTTTTGTCTAAGTTTTATGCTGAATTTAATTCTTATGGTAGTATCGGTATAGAAGTTATAAATAAGTATGTGTATATTGAGTGTTTACTAAAAAAAAAAAGAAAAAGGAAAAAAACTGAGCTGAAAGGTAATGTGCGAAGGAGACCATGCTCTGTGCTTCCTCTCCATGAGGGACTTCTCCACCCGGAACGTGGGAGGCCACTAGAGGGGGACATGTGCTTGGGGCTGAGAGCCCTGATGCCCTCATAACATTCAACTTCAGTGTTGCCCATCAGGACTAATTTTGTTGAATGTTGACTCAACTCCGGAAAGATTTGATGTTAGTGAGTGGTTGCTTTGTGGTTACTCTGCTGTTTTATGAATAAGACAAAAACTACATTTTAACCGGTAATTCAGACTGGTCACCTTTTCTTAATAATCTGTCAGAATAACTGGACAGATCCCTCTGAAATATTTAATGTTAAATTAATTTTTACAGTATGGCTTTGGCGTGTGTGTGTATGTGTGTGTATATATGTGTTATCTATGTATGTATATGTATGTGAATGACAGTGTTTCATCTCTGTGTTTATTCTTCATCAGGATTTACTGTTACTGACTTCTGAGTCACTTCATTTATTTCTGGAATTCATGTATGAGCTATGGAGCCGTATTGACTCTGAGTGACCTTGAGCAAGTTGCTCGTGGGCTCTGTGCTTTAATGCCCTTACTTTTAAATCTGCACAGAGCATCTTCCGTGTGTATCTCTAAGGAAACATGAGCACTTTGACAATTATGAAGCATTATGTAAATATGTTTAAAAAATTGTTATTGTTAATGATAATAAAGTGATCAGTATTATATTGGAAGAACCAATATGATGAAGTTCTAGTTCTCTGATAAGGAGTTGTATAAAGTGGCTTGGTTAGCATTCAGACACAATCTCACTTCTTTAAAATGTACTTCCTGTTTTTGGTTTTATTAAATTGTGTTAGGAGTTAGACGACGTGATAGTTAACAGAAAATGTGACCAACTTCTGCAGTTGCAGTGAGCATGCAGTTGGCTTTTGCTGAAGTGGTGTTTTAGGTATGTCTGGGCCCTGGATTACACAGCTGCTTTCCCCACACCTGCTTGGGAAACTTGAACTTCACTCTCCTCGATTCCCTTTTCTCTGGAACTGCTAAGGGGAAATATAGTTCTTTCCACTTTCTTGTAGGGAGGGGAGAAAGCAGCTGTCCAAATGGGACAGGAGGTCAGAGGTTCAGCTTTGTGTTGTGTAATCAGTCTCAGCATTGGGTGCAAGCCCCATGAAGGCAGTGATGCACGGGATCAAGGGATTCGAGACCGTGGTCCTGCCCTGTGGTGGGACTGAGGTCACAGACGTGCGCATAGAAGCTGACACCGTGCCCACGATGCAGTGTGCCAGGCCTTTTACTCTTGTCACAGGAAACGCATTGTTCCTTTGCCCTGCCCCTCCCCCCATCCTTCCCCACTGCTTCTGGGTCAGGGCTTGGGTACTAGTGTGAGGGAGGTGAAAAGACAAATCTCAAAACCTTTAATGTGTACTTATTCTACACCTGTGCCCCTTGATTTTCTGCTTAGTGCAGGGTGAGATGGAAACATCGTACCACTTAGCACAGGACTCAGAGGCCCATGCTGCGCAGAGGCCGGGCAGGTGCTGTAAACTAATGGAGGGCTGCTGTGTACAGGGCCGCTGGGTGTGGGGGCTGAGGAGACTGGGAAACGGACATGCCTTTTCGGAACGGGGTAGCCTCTGTCGGATTCTGCAGACCCACTGTTGCTTGATCATCCAACATCCCAAGAGCACTTGTGTGTCAGGATTTGTACATAAACTTTCCTGATTGTAAAACACGTCGCAGTCTGGGCAGCCTGGCTGTTGGCTGTGTTCGCTCAGATGCTCGTCCCTTTGCAACTCCTGGTAC